GGGGGGAAGAGAGGGAGGGGAGGGGAGAAAGAGAAGCTATCTTGGTATATGTGGCAAAACGCCCTCAACCGTTGGACATTGTGTTACATGAGACAAGCCAGACGCAAGAGCCAAGCGCCCCGGCTTCTCTGCACGTGTGAAGCCCAGAGCCAGGCTGACCGCACAACTGACGGCCGGAGGCGCTAGGAGAGGCGGCACCGCCCGGAGCCTTGGCGGGGAATCCGACCGAAGCGCAGCCCACTGGGCCTGCTGCCGCCAGCGAGGGCCAGGCGGCCGCTCCGAGGCCTGCGCACCGGTGGGTGGGCTCACCCGGTCCGCGCGCACGAGAGTCACACGCGCACTTGCTTGTTGACCGCGAATTTTTACAGGAATTGCAAAGCTCCCTGTGCTATCTGCAGGTGAACTCTGGGGAAGGGAGAGACAGGCCCGGTGGAGAATAAGGTAAAAAGCCACCTGGGAGGGGCGGACGCGGCCGAGCGCGGAGGAAGGAGGCCCCTGGGCGCGGCTGGCCCAGGGCGGGTGGCCCGGCTGCAGCGGGCGCCTGAGGCCGCCGGCAGACGGTCCCCTCCACGTTGCCATCAGAACGGAGAGTCTGGAGGGTGGTGAGGCCTTGGTTTAAGGTGCAAGCTGGGGTTGGCCAGCTTACAGGGCGGTAAGAGAATGCCCCAGCGAGTGTGGAGAAGGGCAGAGGCCCGAGAAGAGAACGCCGCGCTCCTAACCCCTGGAACCGGCAAGCGAGGGGCGCCGAGGACAGGCTCGAGGAAACTGAGGCAAGAGGACGTCAGATGGGGGGACATCAGGAAGGCCACGGGTGAGTGGTTCTGGGGGAAGGAGACACGAAGGTTCCAAGTTCTGCATGAGGCGATAAGCGGGCACCAAGCTGGCCACCACAGCTGGCCGCGTGGTCACTTCTGTGACCTTCTCACAATTATTCTGGGATATGATGGCATGACAGTCTGATGGTAGTGGGTTCAGAAACAAAGGTGGGCACAGGATCTCCTCCTGCTCCAACGTGCGTGCTCTCCAGATCGGCGTGCCAGGGCCTCGAGCTAGAGCTACAATCACAGAACAATGATGAAAACTGAGAGCAAAAGGAGAAGGCACACTTTGTGCTTTAAGATTTGCTGTACAGCTACAGGGGTCAAGGCAGCTTGGTGTTGCGGAGGGACAAAAACTGAGCAGTGGAAAGAGCTCATAAACGGACAAAATAGACAGCTAGCTGCTTTTTACCATAACACAAAAGCAACTCACTGAAGAAAGGCGAGCCCTGTCAACAGCTGGCAGGGTGAGCGCAGCGGCAGCACACGGTTCCTAGTTTACATCTTATTTAGAAAAACACTAAGTCCGGGCTAGCGCTGGCCTAAGCATGCCGGCGAGACAAGCAGCAAGCCCCGCCAAGGCCTGAGGGAAGACTACAAATCAAGCTTGTGCCGGACCTTAACAACCTAGAGACCCTGTCCTAATTTTTTTTCTTTTAAAGATGGGGGATGCAGCTCGGGGTGCAGGCCCTGGGGTCCACCCCCCTACTGAGCAAACAATGAATGGAAGAAACAGAACTTTAGGAAAAACAGGAAAAACTGATTTTCATTTTGCTAAAAGCGTTATCCATAATTTTTTTTTTAAAGGATAAATAACAAATTTTTTCAAAGATGCCCCCTGGGAATAGAAAGACAAAGCCCAGACAGGAAGAAAATATTACTGGACCAAATATCTGGCAAAAGACTTGCGTTCCCAACACTGGGAGGAGGAGGGGAGAGGCTCCCCCCGCCAAGGCACAGCGTGGGCCCCGAGGAGGACCCGGGGTGGGGAAGGCGCGGCTGGAGGTGGCCAGCAGGGTAGGCGGGCTGCGCAGAGTGTGTGGGTCGAAGCCAAGGAGCCTCCCCATCATTGGCCTGCTTTTCTCGTTCCCTTTCTCAGGGCAGTGAAGGCAGCGGCTGGGGGTGCAGGCACGCGGGAGGTGCAGGGCTGGGACACGGTGTTTCCTGAAGCCCTGCGCCCGGGCCTGGCCTTCCCACATGCCCTCTCCTCTGGGTCCTTCCTGCCACCTCTCGTCCTTCGGTCACCCTCACCTCTGACCCCAACCCCAACAGGAGGTCATGGACATGGTGGGCATCACGGGCTAGCCCAGTCTCCAGGGCAGATGAGCTAATGCTGGTCATTGATGCACTGCGCTTTTGTTTTCTGTCTCTGATATTATACACCAGTTTTCTTTTTCTTTCTTTTTTTTTTTGTATTTTAGGAAAGAGTCTACAGGG